AGACAGAACAAGAGCAAGCAAACTGGCTGCTTTCAAACCCCAGGACAATTTCAACTCCATAGTCTCCAGAAAAACAGAAAACCTCCAACAATAGCTCCATTGACTTTTATGTAAATGGCAGTCTTTAGGAAAACACTGGGCTATTTCCCAAATTCCCGGAACATACCCTGAGCATTTGTTCGAGTGAGAGGTGGGAGAGAGTTCTGTTGAGTCAATGAACATCTGTTGAGAGCTGCTGTGCTGATTCCCAAGGAGACAGAGCTCACGGTCTGGTTCTTCCCTGCCAGAGGTACAGGGATTTACCATACTAAGTATGCGTGCTTGGGGTGGCTTTGCACTGCTTCCACTTAGCTAAGCAGGAACTAGGTTTCCCAAGATTCCCTTCCTATATGGTTCCAGGTTAGGGCTGGCCCCAAGAAAATTTTATTTGTGGCTTGGAAAGCTGAAGTGAAGTAGCTGCCAGTACACTGTGAAGCTCAGAGCAGGATACCAGGCATGGTGGCAGTGCATACCTTTTGACACTGATCTGCTGGCTCACTTTGTTGGTGCAGGACAGCTCTGAGGCGTGCAGCTCCCCAACTCATGCTGAATCTCCTCCTTCAGCTACTCTGAGTCCTGGGCCAGGTGTACATACAGCTCTGTGGCAAAGGGCTCCAGCATCTGCAAGTCACCTGCGTCAATGAGCTTGGAGACGGTAAAAGGAAGTCCCAGGTTTCAGTTTGTTCTCATGAATTCCCATCCTTGTAGGTCCTGATTTGTTCTGACAGGTTCCAGTTTTCCTTGCTCGCCTCCCCTTCACAGCCAGCTTTGCTTTCCAGCTGCTGACCTCACTGATCAATAGAGACGTCAGGCCCAACACTGCCTTTCTTGGCTCCCCCATGCAGGCATCTTTGTTTCCCCATGCTGTATTAGTGATGCCAGTGGTGTAGAAAGGAATGCTCTGGGGCTTCCTGTCCTAGGCAGGGCACTGTGCCCTCTAGTCTTGGGTCCCTAAGCTTGTCTAGGGGTTCTAACTTCATTCCAAGGGACTGTACCCAAGGCAAGGGTAAGGTGCCCTACACTTACAACTTGCTAATACTTTCTGAGCATCTGGGAGGGGGGTATCAGATACCTATTTCTGCCTAAACCTGGAACCAGGTCATTTGAAATCTTTGTGACAGGATGCTTTCTTCTGGCTTCCAGAATGGGGAAAGTTCTCAGCATAAATAGGGAGACCATGGAAACAGCATACAATGTTTAATAAAAACCTGCTACCAGTTTACATATGAATTTTTAAACTCAAACGGGATCACATTATACATAATATTCTAAACCATACTTTTTTAACTTAGTACATCTGCATATCTTTTTACAAGCAGCACTTTTGGCTCTACCTCATTTTTTCATGGCTTCATAATATCCTATCATTTAGATATACTATATTTAACTATTCCCATATAGATGGATATTTGTTTCTGCCTTTTTTTCTTATTTATTTATTTATTTTATTTTATTTTAGCTGAGCCATCCTGCCACCTGTTGGCAGCTCAGCAGCAGCTCAGCTTGGGCCGGGAATCGAACCAGGAATTGAACCGCTGTTGCTCAGGGCTCAAACTCTTGAGCGAGCTCTTAACCAACTGAGCCACTCGGCCGGCCCTTTTTTTTCTTTTTGATATTGCAAACAAGGTTGTGATGAACATCCTTGTGTGTGCATCTTAAACATGTATTTCTGTATGTCATAGTGACTAGAAATGGAATTGTTAGGTCTAAGGGAATGTGCTATATTTTGATAATTACAACTAAATTATTCTTCTGCAGGGATATGCTAATTTACTCTCCCACCAACAGTATATGAGTGCAGACCATTTTAAAAACATGTTTTGAAATTATTTCCAAGTCTTAAAAACTTTCATACAGGTTTAGAAAGATTTGGAAAGTTCGCAGTGTTGGGTGTGTTTGGTTTTTTGGTAAGGAACTGCTCCCTATTCCCCAGAGTAACATGACCATCTTTTGGCAGTCCTACGAATTGCCCTGGAACAGGTTTCAGTTTGGGTCTGATTTTTATGCCTTTGATAGATACACACTCATCTTGATTGAGCACCAACAGGGGGGCCATGGAGACCATCAGCCCCTACCCCAGCCACCCTCTCTGCATCAGCTCTGCTCCTTCTTTGGCTCTGGAATTTTGCAGATGAGGCCCTGCTGACTCAAGCCTCTTTGAGACACCTGGCTTCCTTTCACTTCTGCCATCCCACCTCCGGACCTTTGCCCATGTTGTTCCCTCCTCCTAGAGCACACCTTTCTCCTCCTTCCCTTTACCAACTTACCTTTTACTCATCCTTTACTTCTCTGCTCAAGCATCCCTTCTCCCAGGAATCCTTCCTTGGTCCGTTAGACAAGGTCAAGTTACATATTACACAGTTTTCCTTTGTAGCACATACCTTATTGGCAATGATGATGATGATGATTTTTTTTTTGGCAATGATTTTTTAAATCTGCTTAATTATTTGATTAAAGTCTGCCTCTCCCACTAGAATAGAAACTGCATGAGATGAGGGCAAAGGCCTAGAACAGTACTTAGTACATAGTAGGTCCTCAGTAAATGTTTGTTGAACAAATGACACAAATTTTTCTTTAACAGGACCTTACATAAAAGATCTTCTATATTTTTGTTACCTTGATTACATGTCCCCCTTCAGATGATAAATTTTTTATTCACTTCTGCAGATATTCTTATTCTTCTTTCTTCCTGTCTTTTGTTGTTGTTGACATTTTTTTGTGAAAGGGAACAAAGACTACATGAAATGGAAAAGACTAAAAAGCTTTAGTCTTTATTGTACTGCAGATTATAAAATTAATAAATGTTCTCTGTAAATTTCCAAACAATACAAAAATACATGGAGTAGAAAATGAAAGTCTCCCCATAATCTCATCTTCCAGAAAACACTATTAATGATGTGTATCCTTCCAGACATTTTTCTATGTGTATTGAAATCCATTTACATGTCAGGCACTGTTCTCAAGCACTTTACAGAAGTTAAGTCATGTAATCCTCACAGCAACCCTTTTAGGTAGAACTGGTATTATCCTGTCTTACAGATGAGGAAACTGAGGCTTAGGAGCTAATCACACAGTAAATAAGTGGCAGAGTCAGAACTTGAACCCAGGCTCCAGATTCACGCTCTTGACCACTATGCTAGCGTGTCTCTGATGGGGTGGGAAAGAGACTTTCTATTGGGTCGTCGGGAAAGTCATGATGCATTTTTGCATTGAAAAACATGGAAAAATACATCATGACTTTGCCAACGACCCAATACTATGTGTGCCCTTTTGAACTTTGAATTTTGAACCATGTGAATATATAACATTCTAAAACTTGGATAAAAGACTAAAAAAATAAAAAACAAAGTGTTTAGTACACCAAGCTACTCTTCCTAAGTGACCCCTCGGAGCCATCAGATACCACGTTGGTGTGGTCTCTTTGCTCCAGAAACTCAGGCTGGAGGCTGAGGGAAATGGGATCATGGATTCAATAATATTGTGCTGCATCTCTCCCATTCCCAGCATCTCTCCAGTTTCAGTGGGTTTGCTTCTGAGGATCTCCAGTCTCTTAACACACACGCACCAGCCCTGTGTTTTAACAGGGAGACCTGGGAGGAGTTGGAATAGAGCCACACTGACAGGGTGGAGCCAGGGTCCTCCAGTTACACAGAAGAGCCCATTTTTGATTCCTGGTTTCCCCCCATTTGTCCTTGGCATGCTGCCTTTTTCTGTAGGTGATGAGGTCACTGTTAGCTGGTCTGTGCTACTCCCCAGCACCAGAGTGCTGCCCCCCAGTATGGATGGATTTTCCTGCTTTGTGTAACTTCCCAGTGTCCCATATCTTCCTTATTAAGTCCTCAGACAGACCATGGCCCTGAGAGCATGTGGCTTGATCATCTTCCGAAGACGCCTCATTCCCAAGGTGGACAACACTGCAATTGAGTTTCTACTGCTGCAGGCATCAGATGGCATTCATCACTGGACTCCTCCCAAAGGTGCGAGGCCAGAGGGACTGGTTTTTGGGGAAATGCCAAGCGTTACTCAGAAATCCACCCTGCTAGGACCCCCCACAAGTCTTGCTTCCCAGTGACTGTGCAGCAGGAGGACGTGGGGTGGTAGGAGCCTTCAATCCTTTCTACATACAAGGTCTCCATGCCAGGCCAGAGCAGAGTTGGAAATAGAACTCTGTGACTGAATCCTAGGACAGCAGCATCACCTGGGTTGTGTGCGTGTGTGTGTGTGTGTGTGTGTGTGTGTGTGTGTGTGTATGTGTATGTGTGTGTTTGTATGTTTATCATTCACCAGAGCACCAGCCTCTGTGATGAATGTCTGGGAAGGATATTAGGCTGGGCATTGGGTCTTTGGGGCCAAGTCATTACTGGGCCACAAGTCGGGAGCCAAGAATGAACAGCACCCAAACAGCAGGGATCAGGGACTTTAAAGGGGAGTTGGTGGGGGAGGGGTGAACAAGGAAAACAAGGAAGTGGGAACAGGAAATAAAATTTGCACTTTTGAGTTTCACTAGGGAGAAACAAGAAAAAGGGGATAGAAGTATCACAAATACTGTGAATAGGAATAATATTCATACGTGTCTCCTGATCACCTAAGTTCACACTGCATGGTCCCCTCTCACTGAAAGATTTCAAAGGACCTCCGAATTTTTTCCTGCTTGGGCCTGGGGGAGAAGTTACACTGTTAACATTGATGGACAGAATGCTGAGTAGATGATGCTGGGAAGGGTGTGCTCAGAGACTCCCACATGCTTCTGAGGGAAGTTAAGACATCCTAAATCAGTCACCTCTGTCACCACCAGCATCCTTCCCACCTCCCTTGATGCATTACCTACCTGTCTTTGTGTACATGGCTATATGAAGTGCCATACAGAGAAAATTCTCCAGAAGCCATGAGCTAGAGTGGTTTTTAAGTCCAAGCTGATTGTTTTCTGTCAGAGCTGTTGCAGCAGCTGACTCAGAGCACTGCTGTAAGGACCCCTGGTACGGAAGAGCACTAAGATGTAGCCCCATCTCCAAACCAAGAAGGGAACAGCTAAAATTCCTGCTCCCTGTGAGCTCCTGGCCCAGGAGGCCCCCAGGAACTTGCTGGAGCCATGTGTTGACAGAGGCTGCCAGACCCCTCCCAGTCCTTGGCTCCTCTGGGCAAGCTGAGAATTTGCAGGGAGGGCCTAGAGGCAGAGCTGAGGGCTTCTCTAGTCTGCAGAGCTTCAAGTTCTCCTACAACAACAGTTTCTTGGCAGCTGTCTGCTTGGGTTTGGGTCTTGCCAACAAATTTTCTTAGAACTGTTTCTCAGCTTGTCCTTAGTCTAAGTTCCCATCAGGACTTTCCCTATGAACTGGAATCTGGTCTTGCTCAGTTAGAAAGATGAAAACAATTTGGAAAAGCCTTGATAGCTACTTGGAAACAGCTGCTGGTGCCGCAGTGCATGGTTTTGAGCCTGTCTCTTGGCCCTGGGACTTCAGAGACCAACTGCAGACGGTGTTAAGTCCTCACTGTGGATTGCAGGCAAAGTGCTCCCTCTTCAGCTAGCTCCCATCTGCCAACAAGGGACTGCTGTCCTTGGGAAAATCGCCTTGAGGTCTCCCAGGGAAAGGTCTCCCTGAGGATATGGGATGAGGAGAGCTCCAAAGAATAAGAAAGCAGAAGTCTGAGGGAGGCCATCTCTCTCACCATCAAAGAACAGTATTCTAGACCAGACTTGCCAAACACATGGTCTGTTTCACTCTCTGCAGAGAAGATGGGGTGGGGAGGAGGGGTTTCCCAGACACTACAGAGCGAGACACTACCTGCCCTGCACCCCATTTCTAGGTGTGTTAGGATGTTGCCAATCTCTAGACTCCCTTTAGCCTAACAACAGCTAGAAAAGTCACCGAAGACCCCATCTTTAAATCATCTAACCTGGAAAATACAGCTTTTTTTAAAAAGATTATCTCCCCCTTCTCTTCCTCTTTTCTCCTAACCAGGCCATGTGGAACCAGGAGAAAATGAATTGGAAACAGCCCTGCGAGAGACTCAGGAGGAAGCAGGCCTAAAAGCAAGCCAGCTGACCATCATTGAGGGGTTCAGAAAGGAGCTCAATTATGTGGCTAGGGGGAAACCTAAAACAGTCATCTACTGGCTGGCAGAGGTGAAGGACTATGCTGTGGAGATCCGCCTCTCCCACGAGCACCAGGCTTACCGCTGGCTGGGGCTGGATGAGGCCTGCCAGTTGGCTCAGTTCAAGGAAATGAAGGCAGCGCTCCAAGAAGGACACCAGTTTCTCTGCTCCACAGTGGCCTGAGCTGACGGAAGCAGTCATTTGCCTCAGTAGGATCCTTGAGGGCCTTCTGAGATGAACCCACCTTCAGCTACAGAGAAGGATGTGTTAGTCTTTGGCTCATCATAGCAAAGAGCAGATAGGTTAGTAAAATCAGCTGAGGACTCGCAGAGGAAGGCAAGCAAAAATCTTAGCTGGGTGGAAAGGAAGGCAAAGGAGTTTAAAAAAAAAAAAAAGGAGGAGGCGGCCAGGTCCAGTAAGTACTTATACTTAATAAACCTCAAGCAGCTTATCTGTTGTTCTAACCTATTGTATTTATTTCTTGGACTCTTGCCCTTGTGGAGGAGAATGCCAAAGTGAATCGAAGCTCTGACCTTAGCCAGAGGGAATCCTGTGTCCATGCGCTGTACCCCATAGAAGCTAAGGTGGGGAGTCAGAATAGGAGAGACCCAAAACTGCCCAGGAACTTCCGGCTCAGGAACTGCAAGCACTTTCACCCTACCCCACCAGTATACAAGAGACTTTGTGACCTGTAGTCAGACAAGATATGCAAGTGAGTAGAACTAGAGCACAGGAATAAGGTCTCTCCCAGCTTTAGGCACTTATGTTGTAGGTGTCAGTAAATATTTTCGAAAATAATTAGAGACCCAAGGAACTTTGGGACATAGCCCAGATAACAACAGGGAGAGGAAGGACAGGCAATCCTGGGCCACCAGGTCAGTGACACATGTACTGCAGCCTCTCAGCCCAGCCTTGCCTCCAGAGTCAGTGTGGACCTTGCCAACATGACTGAGGTCGCTAGCAAGAGGCAGGCGCAGGCCTAGGGGTGCTCGGCTGGGCCACCCAGCAGTCCTGTCACTGCATGTGCGCTCCTCGCCTACAGCTGCCTTCTCTGTCTTTAGCAAGCCCCTATCATTGCTTTTTCTCTTTTCCCACCTACTCCCTTTCTCCACAACTCAACTGGAAGACCCAGAGGCGCAAGAATTGGGTCTCAGCCCTCTTTTCCCTTGCTACTAGGGCTCAAGGAATGCAGGGCAGGTGTTAGATCCTACAGCCCTTCCAGGAGCTGTTAGCAGCTGGATTCATGTGGATTTTATTAGAAGGTTGTTGCCCAATGAAATGCAGAAGGTTGGATGGGAAGGGGCATTGGCAAAGGTCAACCTGGATTGCCAGGGTCAAGAACTGCCACCCCCAGAGGAAGGAGAGAGAAGTTGCCCAGGTCTTACTCAGGCTTCCAGATGTTTTTAGTCACTGGCTCTCTGTGCAGACAGGGCAAAAGTACTAGCGAACAGGATCTTGGAGCACCGCCAGGGACCTGAATGGTTTTGTTCCTCGCCCCTCTGAGCAACACTCTGAAGGAGGCCTGCTGCAGGAAGTTTTTGGAGCTTAATGTTCTCTTTCTAGGCCAGCAGGGACCACATCCCATTGATTTAATAAATGCCTGCTGGGCAGTGGTGCCAAACCACAGACTAGCTGCCTCCTAACAAGGGCTGGCCGGCCCTGTGCTCTCAGCATGGGAGGCTGTGGAATCTCAAGCCGCTAAAGACCTCATATGTCAGGGTTGGAAGGGACCTGGAAAATGACCTGATTTTGCTGCTCGTTGTTATAGTTGGGAGAATTGAGGATGAAGAAGGTAGATGGCCCTAGCAGTTGCCTGTATTTGGGGTGCTTTGAGAGTGGGGTACCGGAGGGAAAACTGTGCTTTAGAATATCTTGTGTAGCGTTGGGGTCATTTTCTGGACCGTACAGAGTTTTCCATTAAAATACGTGTACTTTGGAAAAGGGGGAGGTATAAATTGTATTCAGTTGCTCACTTTGCAGGAAGAATTGACAGCAGGGTAGTACCAGGGCATGTTATGGGAGGAGGATAAGGGTGGGAGAGAATGGAACTGAGACTGGGAGGTGGCAGGTGAGTAGGCTTTGTAGTCATCACCACTTTGCTTCTGGCCAGCTGGCCTTGCTCAAGAGCTGTGGGGCTAAGGCTGCAATTTCCTCTTTAATCTCAGGCCCTCCAAACTCCAGAGTGTCTCCTTCCGGAAGCTTTCCCTAATAACCATCCATCCTATAAACGCCATCCTGTTTCCCCACCTGCACCGGAAGAGGCTCCTCTTGGAACTCCACCTGTTCTCCCCAAATACCACCTCCACCACCCCAGGGCAAAGAAGCAACTAATGGACTTATCCCTACCAGGGTGGTCTTAAGTTGCCCCCTCCTAGGGGCATTTAACAGAGGCTCTGGAAAACCAAAATGCCCTCTTAACCCTCAAAGCAACACCTTACACCCCTACAGTAGGCACTGTTTGCTGAATTGAAGATCCAAAGGAATAAAGGTAGTTTTTTGTTTTTGTTTTTTTAGCTGAGCCATCCTGCCACCTGTTGGCAGCTCAGCAGCAGCTCAGCTCGGGCCGGGCATCGAACTGCTGTTGCTCAGAGCTCAAACTCTTGAGCGAGTTCTTAACTAACTGAACCGCTCGGCCGGCCCTGAAGGTAGTTTTTAATGGTAGAATTTCGATTGATATACTTGTGTGGCTATGGGACCCCATGTTTGGGAAGCAGAGGCTGACTTCTTCCTGGGTCCAGCCTGTGGCCCAACCTGTCTTCTGTAGAGGAAAGCTGTGCTAGCCCCACTGCTACCCCCTTGAGGCTGTGCTATAGATGCCCAGAGAGACCTGCTCTCTGCCTTCCCCCAACCAACCCCTGTTCCCTATCCCTCCCCTCCCACTCCACCTCCTGCTCAGGATTGTATAATAGGAAATTCCCAACTGGGCTCCCTAGGAGGAGAAAGGGGGCTAGGGAAGGAAAAACAGCACAGCCTCTTCCTGTTCTTCAGACTGGGAACTCCCAGGAACAGAGCCTCCCCCTCTTCTGTCCTGCTCCTCCCCTCAACCTTACCCCCAGCCAAACTCAGGGACTGCTACTTAAGGCCAAGAATCCTCCCCTCCCCTACTGGGTGGAGGGGGTCAAAAGGTACACACCTCCAGCTATAAAATGAATAAGTCCTGGGGATGTAATGTACAGCATGGTGATTCTAGTTAATAATACTGTATTGCATATATATATATATGCAATATATATATATATATATACATATATATATATTTAGCTGAGCCATCTTGCCACCTGTTGGTAGCTCAGCGGCAACTCAGCCCAGGTCGGGAATAGAACTGCTTTTGCTCAGAGCTCGCACTCTTGAGCAAGCTCTTAACCAACTGAGCCACCCGGCCAGCCCTGTATTGCATATTTGAAAGTAACTAGGAGAGTGGATCTCAAATATTCTTATTACAAGAAAAAAGGTTTTTTGGTAACTATGTATGGTGACAAACGTTAACTGGACTTGTGATCATTTTGCAATATATACAAATATTGAATCATTACTTTGTATACCTAAAACTAATAGAATGTTATGTCAATTATAGCTCAATTTAAAAAAAAAGAGGAACCAGCCTCTGTTTTCCCCTATATCCCATTACAATGGTGAAGTACATCAAAAGAAAAAACAACAACTCCCCTCTGCTCAAGCTGCTGGGAAGATCCTTAGGCATGATGAAGTAAATGTCTAGCCTTAAGATAAAAACCAGGCTGTTCTTTGGAAGCTGAGGTATGCTGGGGGTGGGGGTAGGGGGGACGGTGTCAGCAGGAGTCCCACTGAGTCAGACAATGGCAGGAAAGGAAGTCACCCAGTTGCCACTGCAGGTTTTCTTCAAGACTGGATCCAGGCAGGCCACCCTTTGCAGGGATGGACTGTGTAGCTGTTCCCAGAATGGAAGATAGTATTTCTTCAAATGCTTTTCAAAATATGTTCATATGTATGTGTGTGTGAGCAAAACAAAAACAGAGGTGAGAGAAGGATGCAGATCTTAGAGGCTTTGAACACCAGAGCTTGATTTTTCCCTAAGTGAAGTAATTGAATTTCAGAAAGATTTCCTTGACTGCTACATGGATTGGATTGAAGGGTCCAAGAGCAGAAAGACGTAAGAGGCCACTGCAATGTTAAAGGCTAGAATTGATAAGGTCCGATGTGGGGGAGTGGCCAGAGGATGGAGAGGTCAACACTGGCCTTGGACTGGAGAGGAGAGGAGATCAGAAAGCTCAGTGAGGGGAACCATCAGAAGGAGCCAGCCAGGGTGAGAGACACTTTACCCAGATCTGGAGAAACAAGGGCAAAGACCCAGACAATTCACAGCTTAAAGAAAGGGCTTTGCCAGGGCTCAGCTGATTCATATGGTATTGGAGGGAAACTGAGGCAGACTCTCAGGGTGCACAGGGTCACAGAGTGAAGGCATTAGGCCCCAGTCCCAGATTTCCTACGGTGGCCACTGAGTTACCTCTGGTTATGTCTGGATTAGGGCGTTCCCATACCTTCATATCAGCCCCCACCCCAACCAGCCCATGGTAAAGGGGAGACCAATGAGGAATTCTGGCTATGACAAGGCTGCTGAAATCTGCATGGAGGAGGGGCAGCCCCCACCCTAATCCAGATGAGCAGAGAGAGAAAGATAAATTTGGAATGCACAAGAAGCATTGCAGGGACAGGTTTGGACAAGGCTGGAAGGGGCCAAAGTTCCTGGCATCCTGGGGATTAGGGGTAGAGGTAGCTTCCAGCCCAGTTCCCTCCCGTCCTCCTGTTTCTAAGACTCAGCTCTTTCTCACATTTCCTGCTATTCCAGCCCCCACCCCCACCCAACTTCTTGAACCTCTCTTTTTTGGTATGAAGAGAGGAAAGGGAAATATTCTTGGCCTAGAATCCAGCCTATTGGGTGGCAGCTTCAGAGACTCACATTTCAGCTGGCTCCCCATTCTTGGAGGAATGCAGGCCAGGGGTAGGCCATGCTGTTGAAGGGTGAATGCTGGGTGGGAGAGTCTAGGCTTCTGGATGTAAACACCAATCTCCTGTGTGACTTCAGGCTCATGCCTTTCTCTCCCAGTGCTTCAGTTTGTTCATCTGTGCTTTTGTGAATAACGAGGCCCATGGCAGAGGCCAGGCTAGAAACCAGATCACAAGTCAAGGGCCAGTTTGCTGGAATTAGGCCAGACAAGGACACTCCTCCCTTTGGCCCTGTCCACACAGACAGAGTGCTCAGGGGGCATGATGTGACCCCTCCCCCATCTAGGCTGTAAAACACTACTGCCTGCCCAAAATGCCCTTCTGAAGGGTACTCCTTCGCCTCCCTGCCAGATGATTTAGGCCTTACAGATTACTTTATCCCTGCCCTTTCCATTCAGACAGCACACACTGCTTGGTCCAGTGCTCTCCAACAGAACTTTCTGCAACTATGGAAATGTTCTCTAATCTGCACTGTCCAATACGGTAGCCACTAGTCACACATAGTGTTTGAACACCTGACATGTGGTTAGTATGCCTGAAGAATTTGATTTTTTTATTTTGTTTAATTTTAATTTTAAAATTAAATTTAAGAAGTGACATGTGGCTAGTGGCTACATTGGATAGCACAGGTTCTAGGCAGAGATTATCTTTGTCCCTTGTTTATAACAAGAGTTGATAGGAGCTATCATTCATTGAGCACTTACTCTTCACCAATTTTTGCATAAGTGCTTTACAGAGACATCTCAGTGAATCCTAGAAATCCCACTTTAAAGATGAAGAGACCAAGGCTTGAGAGGTTAGGTAAACTGGTTTCAGGTTGCAGAGAAAGTTGGTGGGCCATTCAAGTGTGAATCATGCTCTCTAGCCATTTAGGGAACTTTCCAGGACACAGCCTGAGTGTCCTTTTACAATCACTCCACAGCACCAGGGCCGGGGGAGGCTTATCATTGAGTACTGATTGGTATATGTTCTTGAGAAAAAGGGGAGAGGGAAGCTAATTCCATTTACTCCCCATCTCCTGGGGACCCAGGAATCCTGTCTCCCAACAGTCCACCTTCAGATATTTCTTCTCTTGCCTTTCTCCTGGATCACAGTGTCCTTTGGATCACAAACTCAGACCTCAAATGGGTGCTATGTGCAGAGGTTTGGGAAGAGAGTGTCTCATGCAGGCCTAGAGAAAGCCAGCTGAGCTGGGAACTGGGGCCTGGAAAAATCCTTGTCGCTTTTAAGCAAGAAAACAAGAAACAGTATTATAATAACTACCTTTTATTGAGCACCTACTTATGCCAGGCACTTTACATACATCTGTGCTTATAATTTCCACAACAACCTGGGAGGTAGGTATTATTATCACCACTTTACATATGAGGAAACTGAGGCTCAGCGAGGTTAAGCAGGTTGCTCAAGGTCATGCAGCTTGTAGATGAGTGGTAGAATCAGCACTGGAGGTGGGCATCTGTGAGTGCCCTTAAACTTTCATTAGGCATTCTTCACACTGAGAAAATAGAGGGGTGGAACAGTGGGCAGGGCATGCCTTCTCTTGGGGTGAGGGACTGGTTCTACTGTCCATGTTGAGGGAAGCTAAGCCCTGCCCTGTTTCCCACCTGCCCCCTCTGGCAAGCCACTCCTTTCACCACACTCAGCTGCAAAGTGAGGAAAAACTCTCTGGCTGAAACTGTTCTTCTTAGAAAGGGAAAATGGCTGAAATGAAAGCCCTTACTTACCCTGTGTCTGTATTTGCAGGCAGTGATGTGCACGTGTAGTTCATGTGCTGAAACACACCACCACCAGAATAAGCACATTGCTCCCTTTTAGGCCACACCCCTGCCATGTGTACAGGGAGTGAGGCAACAGAGGAATCTTGAAAGAGCTGTTTATTTCCTACCAGAGTCCCAGGGACATCAACTGGGAGGAGGCCAATTCAACAATCAAAGCCTCAAATTTGCTCCCTGCCCTCTGCCTCCAGGCTTCTCTAGCCTCAGGGATGTTGTGTTCATTCCTTGGATGCAGGGACACATGGTCTCTCTCTCCTTCTTGAGTTAAGGCACCAAGTCTACCCTGTATGACCTTACAAGTCTTTGCCCACCAGGTGGTTGCCTTGACCCATGTGTGTACACAGATGAGTTAGTACAGTGTTAGGAGTCTCTTCACAAATGAGGGGCAATGATGATGGCTCCGTGCTGAGCCCAGTCCTCCTGTATTTTGCAAGGGGACTTCCTGCCTCCTTGTCAATTGGTCAAGTATCCCCATCCCTTCTCATCAGCTGGAGTGGGACCAGGTCAGCCACAGTTCAGACCAGTACTTGGAACTCAGGGCCTGGCTCCCAACTCCAAGAATGTGCCCTTTCTAAGTGTGGCAGGGGGCTATTTTGGGACCTTAAAGAGGATCAAGTCCTCACTTCAGACAGACAAAGATGGCAAGGATGGCAAGTGAGGTTTCTTTTTGTGCTTTTAAAACCCAACCATGTGTAACAGGAAGAGAACTGAACTTTACCCTCTGAACTCACTCCCCCCCCCCACCCCAGGGAACAGATTTCTGCAGACTGGAGGGGGGTGGAGGGAAATGGGGCTGTTAGGATTGCTCATTGGAGTGGGAGGTTGCCTCAGTGCCCACTCCCCTGGCCCTACAGGAGCTAGGTCAGCACATTATGTCAGCACCCACTTAGTGGGTAGTGCAGATGTAGGGACTTTCTGGGAATACACGGTGTGATTGTGATGGAAAGTTAAAGGTCTGCATGAAGACTGGGATTAGGGCTGTCGGGCTCCCCAGTCCTGGGCTGGGTCAGGATGCCCAGATGAAGTAGGCGACCTCGTCCAAGTCAACAGGGTAATCGGTGAGCAGCACTGGTGTCTTGTCAAAAAGCTCCCCCTTGTAGCTGCGCCACTTGCCTGCCGGCAGGTAGACATCCCGTTCTTGCTTGCCTGGCTCCAGAACCGGAGCCACTAGCAGTGTGTCCCCAATAAGGAATTGCGAGTCGATGCGGTGCGCAGTCTCATCATCCGGTGCAATCCACCAAAGGGGTCGCACAATAGGGTCACCAGTGTCAGTGACCTCACCTGCCAGCTCAAGCAATAGCGGTGACACCAGCGAGGCCCTCAGTGAGGCGAATTTGTGTGCGATGGCCACCACTTCGGAGTCATATTGCCAGGGTGGGACTGAGAACTGCATTGCGGGCATGAAGGCGGCCACCTCCAGCCAGCGCACATAGAGCTCGCGCTCCGGCACACTGCCGCCACCCGCTACGCGCTCAGGCACTACGTTGCCACCCACCATGTCGGGCAGGATGAATGGGTAGCCAAGCATGCTAACGGTGAGCACAGCAGGGATGAGCGAGCGCAGACCCAGATCGTAGCCCCACACTGAGTCGCGGTCCACCAAGCGGAAGAGGCATGAGATGTTCTGGGACTGGTAGCCCACACGGACCTCGGCCAGCGAGAAGAAGGGCAGCGCCATCTCCGTGTAGCGCCGGCTCCATATGTTGGGGTCCGGCAGCGGCCTGTAGGTGCTGAAGTCCCGCGGCAAATAGCTGATCTCCCCCGCGTCGAACTTGAAGGAGGCCACGGCATAGCGCGAGCGCAGCCGCCGCAGGTGCCCCTGGAACCAGTCGCGGGCCTCCGGGTGCGTGAAGTCGAGTACTGCGCCAATGCCATTCCACCAGCGCACTAGCGCGGGCAGCCGGCCGGTGGGTTCACGCACGAACAGCTCACGCTCCACACCTTCGCCAAAGGATGATGAATTGTAGTTAACGAACGGGTGTACCCAGAGCGTGACTTGAAATCCATCGTCGCGCAGGCGGCGGAACATGTCACTGGCATTGGGGAACTTGGCCTCATCGAAGTCGAAGTCACCATAAGCAGGTGTGTACATGTCGTCGATTTCCAGGTGGCTGCTATTGAAGTGGTGCTGGCGGATCTGCTGAGCAAAACGCTGCACCTTGTCCTGGTTCACCGCGCGCCCATACAGCACCCATGTGGACCAGATGGGGTCCCGGAAGGTCTCGGGTGCTGGTACCCTAGACGGTTTGTTGAAATAGCGCCGCACCATGTATTTGTGGATGGAGGTGACGTCTGAGCCAACACACACCCGGTAGCTGAGCTCTGGCGCCGCGGTGCGGCCGGCTGGTGGCTTATAGGGAGTGTTGTGGTAGCGCGCCTGCAGCCGTAGTGAGCGTTCCGTGCTGTTCCAGCCCAGGTGGAAGGGCACTGAGTCATTGACCTTGATGGCAGCTGCGCGCGACGACAGCCAGTAGCGCTCGAGGATGCCTCCGAATGCTGCATCGGAGGAATAGACGTCGCTGGTGACGAAGGGCTGCGGCTCCTGCTGGCCTTCCAGGCGGATGGGCCAGTGCTGGGTCCTCATCTCAGCGCCACCGTACCAGTGCGCTGCTGCATCTCCCAGGAACATGGCATGTTCCACAGCGCGCCCTGGTGCCTCCTCCTCCCAGCGCACGCGGTAGCACATGACTGTGTCCTTAGGCCGAACAGTCTGGATGAAGAAGTGAAGTGGGCGGCCATCTGCTGTGCGAGAGCAGCCCAGCAGGGCGCCGTCACGGCTGCAGGAGTCGAGGTCCAGCGCACCGGAGCGGAAGGCCAGGCGGAAGACCTGCTCGCCCTTCTGGTTACAGATGGAGAAGCCGCCAAGGTTAAGGTCCAACAGCTCCGTGCGCAGACGTTCCGCCTTGCGTAGAGAAACGCTATAGTAGCACCAGGCCACGACTGCAGCCAGCACCAGCAGCAGCCCCAGCGTGGCCGAGCCCAGCAGAGGCTTCAGCTCTTTGGATGGCTTGGGCTTGACAGGCGAGAAGTTATCAGGCAGGAAGGTGTACATGGCTGTGACTGAGAGGGCTTTGGGGCTCTTACAGCCTATGTGGTTCCCAGGGCGGCGGCGGGGGTAGGCCTGACTCTTCTCCTGAGGGTTTTCCAGCATCAGCCCTTAATTAAGGAAGGAGCAGGCAGTGGGACCACCTGACAAAGTCCATCTGAACCTGGCCTGACAGAGTCTGGAAGGGGAAGAGAGAGGTGGAACTGAACTTCGCATTTCCATTTGCTGCAGCAAGAAAGGTATATACTTTGGAAAGGATTGACAAGTGGCAAAGGTCAATCAGGGTTTACCAGGACAATCTGTATCTTACCCACCCTTTCTCAAGGCCCCTAATGTTTGCCAAAATTAGTTAGGACTCTGGATGGGGAGAAAAGATGGCATGCATCCATTTTCATCAGGAAGAAACAAATACAGACAGGGTCAGGGAGCTGTCCAGATCACAGAATGCCAGATCACACATGGGGGCAGTTCAAGCTGAAGAGAAGGGGAGGGATCTGGAGATGTCCTTGTTTCCCAGAGATGTGGTCATAGTAGGAGAGGAGGGATAACCCAGTCAGCTCTTGAGACCTTTAATAGGGCAGTAAACTGGCTTTCCTGCCCCCAGAAAGGGAGAGGAGAGAAGGAGGAACAGCTTAGGCAAGGAATTTAATCTTGAGTCAGAAGCCAGGTTAAATCTGGAGATTAGGGTTGGGGTCAGGAGACTGGCAAAGGGGCCGTGGTGGCTTCTCAGATCTTTTGCCCTCAAACTGCACCCTGCTCTTAGCTATTGTTCACCAAGTTCATTTCCCTGCCTACTTTCCTGCTCTGCTCCCAGCACCACATCTGTGGGCCACCTACCACCTGGCTTTGGCTCTGCCATGCATCCACGGTCCTGCTGCCCCTGCCCTAGTTTAGTCACTGTCTCCTCTCTCCTATATTATTGCAATATTTCTCCTATTAGACCGCCCTGTCTGCAACTTCTTTCCCCCAATGCCTTGTGCTTGTAGCAACCATAGTGATCTTCTAAAGCACTTTTGAGACCACATCTCTTCCTAGTTTAGAGAGCTGCTCATGACCCCCATGATGAAGTTCAGAAGCATACGCTTTGCAATTGAGGCTCAAGGCATGATGACATGGTCTCATCGACCTTTCTGATTCTATTTCTAGCCAGGCCTATCCTATGACTACCAAGCTCATTCCTTCTGCAACCTAAATCTATCAGGTCACCTGCTTGAGGAGATTTCACCCACCTACCTTGGGCCAATGTCTCTCCCAAACCAACCAGCTCTCCAGGGATCAGACCTCCCCCCACCTACTACATACATACACTCTCACATACAGTATGCTAAACATCCAGATATGACTGCAGGGAAACTTAGACTTGGGGGGAGATGTGTGTCACAGTCTGCTGCTCAAGACAACTGACCCTTCCTGTTTCAGCCCTCAGGGCAGAGTTTTACAAAGAAATAGCCCTAGCCAGGTGCATACACAGACATACACACTGCCAGCCAGCCGGCTGCTCCAGCTAGGGGGAAGGAGAGAGGAAGACTGGCAAACAGTAATTAGTCTCCTCCCAGATGCCAATGTCTGTTTCTAAGTCCCCCGCGACTTCCCAGGAGATGGCAGAACTTTTCAGGGTCTTCACTTCCCCTACCTCTCCCATGAAGAGACTATCAAGAATGCCAGGTGCAGATCAGAATTTTGATGCCAGATGTCAAAATACAGTTCCCTACAATGCCTCCCTCAAGGGCCCCCTTCTCTGTGCTACCCTCCACCACTCCCTAAATTGGTCAGTTCCAACTGGTCTGGAACAGCCTCTTATTCCCTAACTCTCAACCCACACAACTTAGTTTGCAAAACTCTCCACCCCACTATGACTCCCTTTCCTATAGGTACAGGTTAGAAAAGCTCTCCTGGGAAATGCAGTTAGTAGCCTTTACCCAGTGCCCTCAAGCTAAGCAGAAACCGAAGAATGCCTTAGGTGGCCCAGGCCAAACCTGCTATACATTCATATTCATTAATTCAAAACAACCAAGGCCCAATTATGGGCACTAAGGAAATAAAGGGGGAAGGTCCGTATCTGAATAGGACCCCCCTTATTCTCAAAACTTTCATATTAAATGAGACCACCTCATGACCCCTGGGGGCATGGAGAGGCCACGAAGGTGACCTCAAAAGCCTTTCCCAGCACTTAAGTTCTGAGAATTTTAACTTTCTAAGATTCCAAGGTTCTTTGATGAAGGACAGGCGCCCACAGACCTGGACACCCACTCCATGGAAGCCCTGTGCCGGTCGCCCAAATGCCACCACAGCATCCAACCTAACGTTCATGTAGAAGAGGAAGCATAGCTACAATACCCACTGTAAAGATGAGGAAACAGTGGCCCAAACAGAAAAAGAAAATTGTTTTAAGTCACCCAAGGAGCAAGGCTGCCTAAATCCAAAATCCCAGATTAACGCTACACAGCATAAATTTTAGGAGATGGGAGGTAATGGTCTGACAGGCTGTCTGAGTACAGCAGAGGAAAGCTCTGTGGTCAAGAGGCTGGGACAGGCTTCCATTAAGTGGGTGTGGACATGGTGAGGCCTGTTTTCCCAAGGGCTGGCGCTGCTGCTTGATCCAGGAAGGCTTCTTGAGGGTGGGAAAGGGGCAGTTTTAATGGCATCTGGTACCAGGGCTGTGGGGGAAGAACTGTGGTTCCGGTGTTAACGGTGGCGCTAGAGACCCTTGTAATCTGCAGCATTTGCCATCCGACTAACCACAGGCTAATATTGGCAGGTGGGGTCTGCCCTAGTCAGGCCTCTCCCCATTTAACGTTCAATTTCAATCTTGTCTGCCAGTCCTGAGTCGGGTATGAGTGGGTGGGCTCGGCCCAGCCCAATTGAAGGGAGGTCATTTCAAGCTGGGTCGTTTGTCGAACACAATTCCCAGGGGAATGAGTGGAAATGTCAAAGGCAACTCGATACGGCCCATCTCCCGGTCCTGCTCAGCGGCAGGATCCGGGGGAATCGAGTGACTGCGCCTACAACCTGGAAATACTCCACCCCCACCCCCAGTGCTCCGCCCAACAGCTACAAAGTCCAAAGGGACAGACTGAGGTCAAGCGGCCTGTCTCCCATTGGAAACCGCGGCAACCCAGGTGTCCAGGCACGCCTCACACACTCAGCGGTATGAGCGAAAGTTAAGGAAGTGTGCTCCCTCAGAAACTCCCCAGGGTCCTCCCGCTGGGCTCACTCACGGCAGTGACCCCAGAAGTGGGGTTGAAGGGAGGCTCCTGCAGATCTCCACGCTAGCCGGAGTTGAGCTGCTACTGTGCGGAGCGGAGCGCAGCCCAGTTGGGGATAGCTGAGGCCCCCCTCGGGCCCCGCCCTCTGGCTGCCCGGCCACGCCCGAGTCATTCGGTCTTGTCTGGGGAACTAGGAGTCCAGCCCAGCCCCTGGAGTTCGACCCCTCCTCCCACATTGTCACGCGGGCTTGAGGCCCCTCCCCTTGGTCCCCAGGTTCCTCCCATGCTCTGTGCCCAGCTACGGGCATCTCAGGCCAGTCTCAAGCCGGGTGCCGAATGCCTCCCGGCTCCGCCCCCACCTTCAGGCCCGCCCCCGCTGGGCCGTTGCTTCCCCGCCTGTGGGCGTGGTTCTGCTCTACGCCTGCTGGTAAATGTAGTTCTGGAGGAAGGAGCAGCTGTAGAAAGCTGAGGTGCTTACACCTCCACCGTAAATTTGGGGTGTGTATGAGAAGGAGCGAGCCGCAGGATAAAGGAGCAGGGCTGGCCCTTGAGATTCATTCCCCTCCAGATTTGGGCAGGTGGAGGCCGTCTTGGTATAATGCCCTCACTAGATCCCCCATTTGGAAAAAAAGTTTCCCATATGGAAAAAGGGTAGCGGAATTCCGGGAGGATCTCAGCGGCTCAATATAGGGAACATACAATCAAGAACCACACGGAGGGATCTTGGTTTCACCATCAAGGAGGCCCAAGCTGTTGGTTTCCATCTGACCAGACCAACAGTGTCCGAGGACAGGGACTGAGAAGACCAGATTCTGCTGGGTTTTCCAACGTCCTCTTCCCCTCCCCCCCTCCGCCCCGCCCTGCCCTCAGGTGACAGCAATTGGAAACGCCTGTGCTGAGAGGAGATGGGTTGCCCCGCCATATCCCGACGCTGGGGAGGAGTGGGGTGCAAAAATACTAACGATCCCAGAGATTCCAGAACACCCCATCCCTTGCTCCTTGAAGAACATAGAAACAGCTTTGTTTTGTAATTTAAAATTTCTTGGTCACGAAACCCTCCAAAATGGGGTAAATAAATTATGGGGTGAAAAGATTATTTATTGCTCAGCCCCCTTGGCCTAGCCAGCCCGGGCTCTACCAGCAGTGGTAATCAGGGTAGGCCTCCGACACAAACTCAGGGTGGATGACATAGTTGTTTCTCTGGGGGCCATCAGTCTTCTTGAAGTGACTTGTGTCCCATCTGTGGGGAGAGATGGGCCAGCCCTTTGGGACCTTCATCTGTCTGATCCAATGTCAATGGTCACCTTATCCCAATATTTAGCCCCTATTATTGACCCTAGGCTCTAACACTGTCCTACTAACCTCAGGTTCTACCGTTAAATTTCTGATTTCCAACACCCGCTCCCTAATATTGACATTTTACTCTCTACTTCAAACCCGGAACCTAACGCCCTGATGTCTTGACTCTTAAGCCCAGCTGCCTACCTTAACTCCTCAATGCAGGCCTCCATGTCCTCATGGGGTCTTCCATTTCCATGCCAGTTTTGACTTCCCCATGGCACTAGCGCCCCCTGGCGGCAGCTTTCCAGTCAGTGCATCGCAGCTGACAGTTCCCATCTTAGTCCCCCAGTCCCCCGCCGCGCCAAGGCAACAGCCACCAGTGTGTATGTGCTTTTGCTTGTGCCAGACTTACCTAAGGTTCGGACATGGGTAGTATGACAGCGGGGGAGTTACAACAGCACATCGCATGCCGGGCCGGTGCTCGTAAGGCAATACACTCCTGGAGGAGGAAGTAGTGGGCAGGGAGGGGTTGGGCCTTTTGATTTCTCCCTACTTCCCCAGCCCAGACCAGGATTCTGAGCAGCGCTTCAGGTGTCAGTCCTACGGCTCGGAGATCCTCCCCTCCGGCCTCCCGGCCCTTCAAGACTCCA